CTCTCTCTCTCTCTCTCTCTCTCTCTCTCTCTCTCTCTCTCTCTCTCTCTCTCTCTCTCTCTCTCTTTATCTCACTCTTGTATTTCGCTTACTCCAACGGCTATCATCTAGTAGTGTGCACACAGTGTGTGTTTCCGAACGCAGCATAGTAAGCTTTAAGCCGTAAGAAATTAACCAATTACAATTGATTATTCGATTGTGATTGGTCAATTTCTTAGGGTTTAAAGCTTACTACACTTATTGTAGATCGGGACTAATGACTCCTGCACACAGGACGCGGTAATGTTTGCCGCGCGGTGGAAATTCGCACGATAGCCAATTAATATGCTGCTTTCCGTAATAACCTTCTAGCTCTTATGGAAAAACAACATATTGATTGGCTGTCGTGCGAACTTCCGCTGTGCGGCAGGCATTACCGCGTCCTGTGTGCAGAAGCCATAACACAAGTTGCTTTCTAACAAGAGACACAAGTCGACACAAGTATCATCTTGGCATGCATTCAGATTCCTCATCCGGACTCTATTACTAAAAACACTATAGAATATGTCACATATACTATAGCACTTCTAGTAATAGAATACACCCGGGTGTGAAATCTAATGCAGCCCAAGATTATCTAATAGAAAGTTACTATTTAGTACGCGTATCAAATGCACGATGTAAACCAAAGGTACTTTCCAATTGCAATATCCTTAGACACTTTCATGCACACGGCGACACAAGTTGCATTCCAATTGTCGTAATCGTCGACACAACATTACACATCCGTACTCAGCTCGAGGGCTACTAGTCGGCTGTGTAAACTAGTGTTTTCTAGTGAAAATTGAAGTTAATAAGCGTAGCGGCTTGAAAAGAGACTGGCATTTGCAACGTGAAGTGGATAATATCTTTTTTTATTATTTAGATTTTATTATTTATTATTAAAAAATACCAAAATATAAGCACAGTTGAAAAATAATCCTAACCCTATCCGACATACATACACATTAGTACACACTTTGTTCAAATTAAATCGTGCACAACGTTACACTTTGTACATTTCTGTGTACAATGGTTGCGTTTAGCAGAGAAAGCTGCTTTGCAACTGTGTAAAATTCGTGAATCTGATTGGTACATGCTCTTGGATTTAACCAAATTAAGAGCATACTTCAATCGGATTCACGAATTTTACAACAGTTGCAAAGCAGCTTTC